CCTGCCCACCACGCAAAAATCTCAAGCTGTGCATGTATACTCATTATTTATCTCGCCCATGTCCATCAAGAGAACATCTCGAGACATTCTTACGTGAAGCTATTCGCTATACGACCAGCTTGTAGTTAGACGCGGTCGTTGGGCACTTATTTCAAAACTTATTCCTACGCCCGGTCTTTTCATTCTCGCTAATTCACTTACACCGTCACCGCTGGCATCGGGTAATGAAAAATGATTATGCCATTTGCTCATATACAGGAACTAGTCGTAAAATAACTCGGCTTCTGAGTTCAACTGACCGTCTGAAGTGCAGGTTGTGGGAGATCGAGAGAGACTATATAAAGATCCCTGGGAGTCCGTGGTATATTTAAACCGCAATTCCCTCGGATTGCAATGCGGGGAAGTTATTCAGAGTCGTGCCTTGAATGCCCTCTTCGGAATGCCCACGATTCTGCACAGGCTGCTTTAATTGCGCACATTCTGGTGATCTTTGAGCCCAGAGAGACGTGGAGTATTCTTTCAAGCGCACTTACGAGTTTACTTCATTACCGTTTGACGGACTTGAAGTTCTTCTTTTTTCGAAGATCTATATAGTTCCTGAAAATACAGTCTCGTTTTTAGGTATGTCGTTTCTTCCATAAGTTCATTTCCTGGCTCAAGAACTTCCAAGAGTTTAAATCAGTGGTGCCTGAGAATGTATGTATCATTACCACAAAAAAAGATAAGAGATCATCTTCTCAGGAAAATTCTCAGCTTCCGCATATATTACATCGGCGGAATTTTACCTATTCATCAACATTCCAATTTGGAAAAAAATATCAACAAGGTTCCCTGAAATTCCCAAAATGAAAACAAAACGGCAACCCCACTCAGTGTCTTGAAATATTGAAGCAAATATTGATTCTCCTGGGTTTCATGGCGATGTCTGAAAGTTGGAAAATTTTCAAAACCCCAATAATTAGCGGCAACAGTTGCCTGAGAAAAGAGAAATAAAACAGAATTTGTCTAGTATCCACAAAGCAAAACAGAATTAAAAGGTAAACTCACCAAATGAAGTGCGAAATTTGGCGAAAAAAGGAGAAATATACGAAAGGTGAGCTATTTTCAGCGGATTCACGACGAAAATATCTCAACCCGAAACCTAGACGTAATTCAGAGATAGCAATGACTCGTTACGCCATTCAATTTATTTGTACATACCGTGAATGTTACGTCAGTGCATTTCGAGCCTTCATCGTCTGAAAATTAAATCGGCATTTTAATTTTTCAAGTAAAATTCCAGGGTGGGTTATAGTTTTTCACAGAATAAGTGCGGAATGTTGGACACAGTTCGAGAAAAGTTTCGAAGCATAAGCACTAGGTTTACATGCAAAGGAGCACGTGACGCATTTCAAATGCTTTTCCCCGTGAATTTCCCTCCTTGGGACCATTTCTTGCGTCACCGCATGAATCAATCTAAAGTCAGATTGAGTGAGCTGATGAAGACGTGAAAAGCAGTTCACCAGAGGGAATAAATCATGCCCGGGTTGGTTCCCTATACTGAAACATCCCAACATTCCGTAAGCAAGTGTGGAACTGATGGATGAGCCGGCATTTAAGTGCAACCTCTCCTTCAAATAGCTTTTCCCCTGATACCTCCAAGGTTGTGGCGAGTTCATGAATAACGGCTATTTGGCCCAGAGTTCGTGACGAAGCATTTTCCCCGGCGCTTATCGAATTACCGTTTACTGGATCGTCCTGGTGTCGGTTCCTCGACGACGTTTCCTTTTACCCCGGGTTCGTAAACGACAGCCAAGTACCGGGGAACCCGTTGGCCCCACACAGATAAACCCGACGTGAGGAATGGGCCCGCGTAAACTCGATTAACCCGACCAGTGTTTTCCTGCCGACTTCCCGACCCATCCTGAGTCAAGTCAGTAAAAGCTGGTTCGCTGTCCCCGGGGACACGAAAGCTCAACACAAGTCTTCACCTGGACCAGAATGCCAGTCAAAACCCGGGGTATAAACCTCTTCCGGAATTGAATAAGCCCGAACTCGTATCCTCAGAGCCTCTGGCCTATGAGAGACCGGAGAACCACAAAAGCAGGACGCATCAGACACTAACAAAGAGAGCGCCAAAGAGTTCAGTCGGAAATTCGCAGAAGAAAAGGAAGTTGGTTGAAGTGTTCCTTTCATTATCCCATCCATCTCTGGAAGACGGAAGAGAAGAAAGTGCGCTCGAAGGAATGAGCAGTTTCCTCAAGTTTGAAAATATACTCCACCCAGACATCAAATCTTAACAGCCTTTGGACGAAGGATTTTCCACTTTACTCCACACGATATACAGCACAACAAAATCATTTCAAGAAATTAATCAGAAGCTCATGAATTTCCCCTCAGAGTCAAATCCAGTGACAGAAACGAGAACTGACTTCGCTGCGATCATAACGGTAGCATTTCTTTCTGTAGTTTTTACAAGTTGTTAAATTGCGATGAATTCTTTTGAATGAATGAATGAACAGAACACTTTATTTGCCGCCTTTCAGCATTCACAAGGTTCACTCAAGATTTCCACAATCAAACCCCCTTCCCACCCAACCCAAATCCACACAATGACATTTTAATCACTTCAGAGCAGGAAAGCACAAAAGAATTTCTTCAATGATTACCATACAAAAGTCATAATGAGTAAAACATATGAAATAAACAGGAAATAGAGAAATGAGATTTTGTTTGAATATAAACTGGCACAAGGAATTCAAATTTATGATTTCAAAGTTCCATGCTGAGATTAAGTTCTACCTGCTTTCCTTAGTCATTCTAGAGTCTGTTTCTTGTGCATAGTATATTTTAGGGCAGTTTGTAATTGGAGGCAGTTTTTGGGAGAGGGTTCCCTACATGGGATGAAACTACTGTACATATCAACACAAACAACATTAAATATACAGTCAACCCCCACACAACAGACCTACCAAACAACGGATTTTTACAGAACAGACTGCCTCTGGAGGCAGTTTATCCTCTTGCATAACAGACAAAATCTGCATAACAGACTTCAGTCTGTAGCCGTGCAAGCCAACAGTGGACATGAAAATGGCGGAATTGCCTTGGAAGATATTTGGCAACCCTTAGAAAGAATGCCAAGTTGATTTCAAAAATTCTGAGGAGATAGCTGGGCTACAACAAAAAAAGGGCGCCTCATCTTTCTAGTGGAGAGCAAAACTCTGTCAGGGTGAATTATGAAAAATATTTTTAAAAAAACTTCTCAAACAGGGCTGATTTTTTTTTTGTGCCAAAGAATATGTTTTCCCTAAAGAATAAAATTCTTTCAGCTTAATTTTAAGCCAGTTTCATTGCTACTCTGAGAACATTTGTTAGAACCCTCATAGATACACATCACCAGCACTCAAGATCAATGCATTATAAACCTTTGTAACATCACTTTTCCTCTAACCTCATCTATTCAAAGTTTCATTTGATGTCATTTTGACATTAAACTGGAGCTAAACATCTGATCCAAGTGTACACCAATTTTTATATTATGCTTTCAACAAGTAATTTGTGAATGCTGAGAAAGGGCAAATGAAGCTTGTGTATCAACAAGTTGAGCACGCATTGGACCAGATTAGACTCTTATTGTTATAAATGTATATGCTGAACTTCTGCATACAATATACTGTAATGGGCGAGATGGGCCACGAAATCCTTCAAAAGTGTTCAGAAAATGAAATCTTAACCTTAGGCATCTCAAGAAGTAACTTAAACGTCATATCAAATATATTTATGAGTGAATTAAGAATGCAGTCGACATTATTTAAATAATCGATTCATTGCAAAAATTCAGAAGTGCATCTAAAATTTGCGTTTAACCCGTCCATTGCTGGAAATCGAATAATATCTGGCTCATGGAAACAACCTCAAAAATGCAGAATTAAATGTTTAAAAAAATCCCTTTTCTATACTATAACGCTGATTATTGCATCCGGCGAAATTTCACCATGATGTTTCCCACCACACAATCCGCACTCCGAGAGCTGGTCTCAAAGTCCAACAGCTGATAAGATAAAGAAAATGATTCTCTCCATTTCCAGACAAAAGGGATGATATTCATCCTAAACCGTATCTTTTTGTTGATGAAACTCCAACACCTTTCGACCTCGGGGAAAGAAAAACCTTCTTCCATTCCATGAAATCAGCATCAGCTGACGACAGATAGCAATCAAATTGAGGAAAAATCGAAGGACGGAGTGAAAATTTGACTCAATGCATTCCTGGAGAACGTCTGCGAGCTTCTGTTATGAGAATAAAATCTGGAAAGAATAATACTCAGAGCCGCAGACTCGGTTCATAATATGTTCCGAAAATATGTCCGGGTAGGTTTCAACATAGAAGATTGAAATTGAGCTTTCCGCAGAAAGAAATGACGATTTTTCCATTTGAAATTCAATATTAAATTACCAAATGTTCACGTCATTAACCTGTCTTCGACAGGTTTCGGTTTTCGGGTAATACGCGGTTTAATTTGCATAATTTCCCTCGCATATCATGAAGATCGGTTTCCTGGAGCAGGAGTGACACCTACATGTCAGTTTGAATGAGAAACTGCCGACTGGAGTATAGATGTCAGCTCGACAGGAAACCCTGCCTTCGAGCTTCGACTGTAACTGCAGGGTTGGATCACATCGCATATGAGAACAACACAATCTAATACCTTCAATAAGCTGCAATAAAACTGCTAACTTGAATATTGTAGTACTGTATACAATTGTGACGATGAATTTGAGTATTTCCGGAAGTCGTTCAAGCTTTAAACTTTTCTACATTAACAATTTCATGGTTATGGAAGAGGAGGTCGTTTTGCGTTTATTTTCTCTTGCTGTACAATGATTCCTTCGTCTTTGAAATATTTATGTATAGACATATTAATGTCAACATTTTTTCTGAAAAAATTGTTTTTTAAACCATTTTTGCTGATAATAAATCTTGCGAACATTTTTATTGAAAGATTCCTTTGTTATAAGATGGAGGAAGCCACCGAATCGGAGAAAACTCTCCACCGAAATTCTGCCGTAATTCTGTCTTTCTATTCGATAATGTTCGACGTCCGTGAGTATATTTTTCGGAAAGAAATTTCTTGGCAGTGAAATCTAAAAAAAGAAAAAAATATGCTCCAAAAGCGAAACGTGTATTGCCTTAATTCTTGAATAGATAAAGATTCTATTGGCCGAGATATATATTGCAAATCTTTCGTTAGATAAATAACGAAAAACTTAACATATAATCTTTAATGAGTGCAATGGACACACAAACATTTCAGGAAATACCTACCTTTTTCATATCGAAACCACCAAACGTTACAATTTGCGTACGGTTTTTAATGCATATTCAGTAATTGCGAAAAAAGTTGCCAGAATTCAGAACAAAGAGAAACGGGTAAGAAACGCTGTGGATGATTTTAAAAAATTGACGTTTTTCTTGGTGAACATTTGAAGGCTTGGGAAATGATTTTTCCAAATTTTCAAATTCCATTTTCTCCTCTCGGATGAAACAGAGGATGATTGATGATGGTAAAATATTATTTCCAAACTGCTGCCAACAGTGTGAAATAATTTTTAACGTTTTGTTATCCCTGGAAACGTAGTAGATGTACATGCGTCTCCTTTTAATTGAGGTTTGGAAATGATCAAGTACTAATAGTCTTTGCCAGACAAAAATAGTCTTCATTCAAATGCACAGTATACAAACAGTATTTAACCACAAGACACAGGGATCTATTGGGATAAGATGACTTCTGTACTGAACTGTCTCCTGAGCTAAAATGCCTATCTTCCTTAATCCTGCCAGGGGTTTATATATCACAGGATTTGGGGGTATAATCAGAAGAGGAGTAGGACACCTGTGTGCACATGTGCAGGTGTTCTTTAACCCTTGGACGGCTAAGTCGGACTATTTTCGCGAAATTTTGTACCACCTCAGAGAGGTAAAGAAAAAAATGAGGACAGGGAGCCAAGGGCGAAGTCGGGAATAATCCCGGCGTTTTTTTCCCTATTTAACCCTTGGACGGCTAAGTCGGACTATTTTTGCGAAATTTTGTACCACCTCAGAGAGGTAAAGAAAAAAATGAGGACAGGGAGCCAAGGGCGAAGTCGGGAATAATCCCGGCGTTTTTTTCCCTCCCAGCAGAAAAATTTTGTCAGCAAAAAAAAAAAACTCTCAGTTAGGCTACCTGCTTTTTTCGGATTAATCCAGACTTTGCCTCAGTCCACCTGGAAGGGTTTTGGTGACCTTCCCAAGAGTGAAAATGCGGGAGGATACAAAAATAATCCGACTCCGTCCCGCTATGGGAAAGAACCCTCCGCCGTCCGAGGGTTAATGACTTCCATGCGCCGGGGGTTACTGTGCACTTAGGGGGTTGCCACGCGCTGGGGTTACTAAGTGCGCGTTGTTGGGGATACACATGTTGGTCAGTCTGTGTCTGTCAGACCACGTGAACTGGGATGGAAGAATATTAATATATTTTATATATTAATCTATTATCTCTTCCTGGTGTTATGAATAACACCAAGTATCAATATTTGCTTGACAGCAAATATTCTCACAATATATATTGGGGAATAATAATATAATTTCCACCAATAACAGTTTACACACCAAGAGGGTTTTCAGCACTTTTGCTTGGATGTAAGAGATAAGATAGAACAAAGATTTGAACCTTCTAGGAACTTGCTTCCTTTTACTGTCATATCAGTATACGCACACCAAAAAAAAAAATCTTACCAGTCTGTGAATAATATGTCTGCTTGATGACCAGAGCTCGTCGCACCTGTTTCTATGGCTGTGCTTTTGAATCACAAACTCCATTTTTGAATGCGATTTCAGAAATAAATACAGTACACTGAATTTTTCCCACATATAACGGCCATTCCCCAAAAATGTTTGTTCCATACATGAAGGAACACATAATGACTGGAATTTTGATCTAGCAACCCAGTGTTCTCCGTCAATTGGAAAAGAAAGAAATTGCAATGAAGAGCCAAATTCATGGTTTTGCAGGTGGTAACTTGCAATTCAACCTTCTGCATAAATTTGACCATTGTGCAATGTCATAGTCAAATTTGCTGGGAGATTGACTGGCAATTAAACCTCTTCTCTGGAATTCAACCTGCTTTGGCCACTTTTTTGTGTTTATGTGCTCATACTGTATTTCTTAATTTCACAAAGTGTCTTGCAATTTAATCCTAGTCTAGCAATGGATTAGGGTCAAATTGCAAGGTACCTCCTGCATGCTGACCTTGTTGCTCCTAACTCTTGTCATTTTGATTCAAAGGATGTGCTATTTTTATGAAGAGAAGTTAAGCATTGCAGTCAAAAATCTCAAATCATAATCCTATTACATTTGAACCTTGATAACTTGAACCTCCCAAAGTTTAATACCTCCACCAGTCAATTTTTTTGAGTCCTTATTGTAATTATATTAGAAACAATGCATTGAAAACCTGTCATATAACTTGATGAAGGCTTTTCCTCTTGAACCTCCATAATTAAAATTTTGTTTTGCCTTTTGGCTATTATTTTAGCAATAAAAATTCAACTTGACACATTTTGAAAGGAAGTTTAAGAATAATCAAGTAAATGAGCCCCTGTCTTCAAGTTTAGCATGCTGTGAACTGATTTAAGAAGCAATTTAAACTTTCCCACAACAAAAATTCTTGGTTCCCCAACTCAAACCTCTATAATGTAAAAACTTCCCCAAGTCAAATCTTTTTTTGCTAATCCTTTGAAAATTCAACTTGGAGAGGTTCAACCCTAAAAGAAAATTTACTCTCCTTCTTTCTCTCATTCATGATGCTCACTTGAACTGAAAAAAGGAGAAAATGCGATTCCATTATTTTGATACAGCAAAGCGGAAATCAACAGACACTGAAATAAAAGAGAAACGACTTCAAAGACACATTTTTCTCCGATTCCAGAGAAACTGGCCCGTAACTTAAATACCCGAAGCACGATAATTCGATTTCATAGAAATACAGTAATTGAAAAATGCTGATCTTCGAAACAGGACCTTTCGATGACCTACTGAAGGCCATAGAAACGAATATGAATAACACTGGAACTCATTTTATTGTCGGCACTGAAGAAATTAATGCTCTCCAATAGACATCTAAAACTCTTTGAATATTTATTTTATAAGATAAGAAACGTTTATAGCTATTATTGCCTTTCTAAAGTTTCTATATAATAAAGATTATATTTATCCAAAAATGGCTCCTTATTTATAAAAATTTAACAATTTTAGACCGCAGAAAAGAAAAAAAACCAAGAAATTTTCCATTTTATGGAAGTATCAGGTTAAAAATAAAAATCGAGTTGAGCAACACAAAAATGAATAACTGCCTCTGCTTCAAAAATAAGTTTTTATAATTTTTTTTCTCAGAAACCGTCGATGATTAAAAACACAAAATATTATTTCGAAAATGCTGCTGACAGTGTAAAAGAAATTTAAGGCCAAACAAAGTCACGACGAGGGTTTCCGGGACTTCTGACTGGAAATTGAAGATAAGCCAAAACCGGGACAGGAAGCTTCTTCTAGATTCTGTTTCCTTTCTGGCAACTCGTACATCATCTTGGACGAAAAAAAAGTCTGACCAGTCCTTGAATAATGTCTGCTTGACCAGGGCTTGTTGAAGCTTCCATGATTGTGCCTTCGGATAACAAGTAGTGTCATTCGAATTCAGTTTTAGAAATATTGAAATTTTCTCACGGATCAGCAATCCCCAATAATTTTCGCCCCCTTTATTGAAGGAATACAATGACTGCAATTTTATACATTACGTGTGTGATCGTAGCTACCCTGTCTTCGCCATCATTTGGACAAGGAAGGAATGAAAACAGGTTTCAGTTCGAGGATTACATCCCACCTTTTCAATCCATGAGTCAAGCTGCCAACAACGACAATCAGTTTCCAGGGACGGATATTTTCTCTTCTGCAATGGAGATGAGCAATGATGAGAAAATGATGGCAGCAATGGAGATAATGGTGAGAAATCTGAATGAAATGGCTCTTTTTTTCAGATACCAGGGGAATCTATCAAATTGTTTAGACTCTGAATGATTGAATGAACAGAAAGGTTCCTTTTTCCACTTTCCAGCATTCACAAGGTTCAATCAACATTCCCACAACCAATACCCCTCCCCACCCAACCCAAATCCATTTAAAGGCATTCAATAACTTCAGAATGGCAAAGATAGAAAAAAGCTGCATATGGATATCAAAATAAAAGAAAATGCATTCCACAATGTTCAACTATGTCCAACTGTACAATCCATTGTGTACACCACATTCTTTCCTTTTTTTAGACTTTAGACAGCATTATTTATTTATTTATTTCATGACTATAGAAAGAAACTCAGTAGCTTTAAAATGGCCTTGAAAAGGAACACCAATCTTCAATATGCTCTTGCAGTAGTAAAAAAATTCAATACCATGGGACCCCAAACATACAGACACCCCGACATATGGACAATTCAACTTAGGAGCTGTTAAAACTAGAAAAAAATCTGCCCCAGCATCTGGACAAATGTTTTGAGACACGGATTTTTTTCAAACATCAATTCCTAAAAAGGAGAAAATTTCATTGGTTGAAATTCTGATTCCTCTTAAACAAATCTAGTTAATCTATAGTCACAAAGTTTAAAAATAAACGTTAATATAAATTTACTCATTATCCTTAACAAACTAGGCCAATTTTTTGCTTATTTTTCAGAGATTTTTCCTTAATCTGTGCACAGTATATTGGAAGGTATTCTTGTTCTTTGCTCACTGTGAACCCTTTCATGTTAGACAATTCATTTTTTGTGGATTTTTTCTACACAGTTGTTACAGTATTTCCTGCATCTTGATGTTTATAACAATATTCTATTTCTGGTGGAAATATTCCCAATTATTTGATAAACTGGAGAACCAATTTCAAAAGTTCCAATTGAAGTCTATGCAAAAACATGATCCAATATGCAGATGCTCCAACATAAGTACAAGTCCAAGCACCAATTACTTGTGAATCTCAGAGTCCCACTGTACAGCAGTACTCAATTATAGTGATCAAACTGTATAATACAGTGGTACCTCACAATTTTACCTCCCACAATTCAACTGTCCCAAAATTTGATGGTCAAATTTGCAGGAAGGTTGACTTCCAATTTGACCCTTGCCCTGCAAGTTGACCTGATTTGGCCAATTTTCCACATTTTTGTACTGATATTTTTTAATTTAAGAGAGTGTCTTGCATTTTGACTGATTTGAAATTCTGCCCTGGTTTGGCAAGGGAAGGGTCAAATTGCAAGGTGCCACCCATACTGTAAGGGATTTTTAATATAGTAAGACTGCTGAAATTGTGGATTTGAGCTTGCGTGATTATTTTACCAAAGTTTTCAATTAATTGATGCTATTTTATTAATCTTGAAGTTCAATTCTTCCTCTAGTTCATGCTTTAAACATATTCATCCTATGAGGGTTTTTATTGCCAATACTGTACAGTACAGTAGTTCATGAGTAATCCTGAAAATGTCACCTAGTGAATACATTGTGCCTCAGAGGATTGCGCGTTATTGAAAATAATTCCAAATTGAAAAATGAAACTATTGATTTTGATCATAATGTTAATGATCTTCAGTCTAGCATTCAAGTGCACAGGGTGGACCAAAAAGTAAGTGAACCACTTACTTCACCACCAGGATTTGGCATTGAAAATAGGAAGCATTTAAATTTGCATTCTCTCACTGCTAGTGAGAAGTTGAAAGTGGTTTCAGAGGCTGAAAAATAGGGTAATGTGCAGCAGGTTGCCAGTTTTGTACTTCTAAATCCTGTATTCAAGACTGGAGGAAGCAGAATCAATACATTCATTTTTCAATTGTAAAAGAATAATTTTGAAAATAAATTTTTAGCTAGCAAAAACTGGGGTGCACATCATACACAGGGATACATTTTTGGGCAATTTTCACACCAAAAATTGGGGGTGCTAGCCTTACTCAAGGGCTTGTGGTACTTGAGTAATTAGGGTATATGTGGATTGGCAGGGTCTCAAGAACCATATAAATGAACACTAAAAACTGTCAGGCAACCCCTTCCACTAAGCTGCTCTTCTCCATTCAGAGCTGTTTTTAGGGATAAAGTAGGTGCAGGACCAGTAATTTTACTTGCAAACTTCATGCTGCCTTCAAAAGAGGGTGCTTGCATTCCCAAAATTTAGGATAATTTCCAAATTAGCTATTTTCAGTCAAAAATTGGTTCACTCTTTTATTTTTGGCCCACCCTTAAATTGAATATTATTGATCATGCACTGTATTTTAATATATTCAAAATAATGGACTGGTTGTCACAGGTCAAACATGGAAAATATCAGTTCAGTGATGATTTTTTTTGCAAAATTATGAAAATCATGCCAAAATGTTTTGCAATATGTGATGCACCAACAATGCAATAAACTAGTTTTTTCATAAAACTTGTTCATAATCACCACTACAGACATCAAAGGATGAGAGTTGATATTTCAGATTGCTGCTGTCAACACCTGCAGTATACTTAAAAGTCCATTTCTCCACTTAATAAGTACAGTAAGACCTACACATGCAGACACCTTAACCTGCAGACAATTCAACATAGGGGCACTTATTTTCCGATAAAAAATTAATAAAAAAGGCCCAAAATGAGGACACTGACTTGACATGGGGACATTTTGCTAAAAAATTTCAAATACACTTCAGACCAAATTACAAGAAACAGATATTTCCAACCCTAAAATTGATGTAAGGAAAGTTCTTGGGCATTTCTCTCACCAATTTACCATTCATTTAGCTATTTAAAAAAAATTGGTACTTTCCTGTTATCTCAGAACCCATTTTTCTTTGTCTGGTGAATTCAGTATTTGTTCAATGAAAAATTGGTTAATCACGTTAGTTGAAGAGAAAAGGAACTACATCACTACCATCCAGACAAATAACCTAACTTCACCTAACCACCTCCCAAAATCAGTTTCAGCAGAATGAGGAAAAATGAAATTCACAGTTTCTGGTAGGTGCACAGAAAGTAGGTACTGAGATAAAAGGAAAGTACCAAAAAGGTACCTCCAGCAGAGAGGGACTTCCTTCTCTCTTATTCACCTCAATATTATTTTTTTTCACAGAGAATAATACCAACATTTATATGTACTGTACAGAGGTATCAGTATTCAATTCCCCAAATGCCCATATTGTGCTGAAATATATTCATTGGAATTAGTTTAAATTGGGAGAAAATTTTTATTTTCATGGAATCATGCTGGTGAGTATTTTAAAAATAAAACACCAATTAAAAATTGTATAATGTAAGTCTAAGGGAAAATGAGACTGCATACTTGGAGACATTTTGACATAGGGAACTCTTGATGAACCAATTACATCCACATCTGTATTGTAATGGGGTTAAAAATTATTTTATTTCTTTATTTTCAGGAATATATGATGAGGTACGGTTACGTTTCTCCAAATGAAACCATGGTATCCTTGATGACAGACGCAGACACGACCATGAAGGGATTAAATTCACTTTTGGACATGGCCAACATAACCGATACTGAGGGCAAGTATAAAAACATGATTCGTACAGAATCCGTGGTATTCTGAAACCTGATCCTTTTCGCGTCAACTTCACAGGAAAAGCGAATAATGCCTTGATGGATTTCATACGCGGACGGAGATGTGGAATGAGGGATTTTCCTGGCGTCGACGAGGTTCCAGCGACATCTACAGAAACGAGGAGGAAGAAACGATATGCTCTACAAGGTATGAACCCCGCAAGGATGTACAAAAATCTGAAATACAGTATGAAAAACATCGGACGGTAGTCTGAAAATTTTCAAAAATCAAGTACTCTACACAATTTTAAGCATCAAATTCTCCGGGACTTGAATTCCCTAATTGAAAAAAATTGAAAATTTTTTTCTCCCCGAAGTACGTAATATTGAACACCCCGACATTTTAAAAAATGTCGATTTAATTTTATTGATAATGCCTATTTTATATTGCTTCAACGTAAATACAGACGGGGCTTTGTATATACTGTACTGTACATTCAAACCCCGTCAAGGCACCCTCTGCAACCGCCAATTTATTCCAACAACAAATATTCCCAAATGATAAAAGCATTGGAAGCACATTAAAATAACATCCGCCAAATATTATTGAAAACTCAAACATGCTCCTGCCAGTTGATTTTGTCTTTGATAGCACGTTAAGAAGATTCGAATTTTTCTGATAGGTCTCCTATGAAAAAAAAAACAAAACAAAAATATAATATAATTTACTTCCTGGGCACATTATCTATAGTTACAATTTGCGCAACTCAGGGTTATCCTGGTTGTTTACTTGAAGAATAGGAATTTTGATTCCTTTAACACTGTATTTATGCAAGTACCCTGAGTATGCCACTCACCCTCATTTTTCTGCAAGAAATTGGTCTTAAAACCTATCCCAGTGTAAGATGTGTACCCCAGTTTTTTCTTGTTGTTGCTGAGATTTAGGAATTGTGAATTTTTGTGTGTGGATCCATTTTCCTCTATTGACATTTCCCCCCTGCTTCTAACTGTCCACAGCTCCCTCAATTATAGGAATATATTCTATTTCCTCTACTTTCTGTTGCATCTTCAACTGCTTCCTAAAATTGCTATCCCTTCAGACAGTATTTCCCATGAAAAACCAGACTTGGCACCATGAATTTCCACTTAATTTTTTTAATGTACCTGCATACAATGCACAGGGGTTTCAAAAAGTTTTCCTCAAAAATTGCATCCCCAGGTACCACGCGTACCCCTTTTTCTGTCTTGAATTCTGGAAAAAAGTGCACGTGATACTCAGGTAAATGCCCTCATTAATTTCAATATTATTTAAGCTTTTTGGATAAACCCTCAATCCCCTTAAATTGCCACAAACAAACCTCACCAACAAATGATTGTGGCTCAATTTTGCTGGTCTATAATTTCACAATTAAAGAACAGTACTGTGTAAGTATTAACAGACTTCTATTAGATATTCTGGAAAATCTCTTGAGTCCTTAATCTCATTATACTGCAATACTCTACCATTGTATTGTTAATTTAGGTCTGACAGTGTGAAGGTGATGATATCGTGTTTTTCAAATATAGTTAATGGACAGTAATTTATTAGTTTTCAGTTGATTGGATATGTTAATTATTCCTGAGTTTCCAGAGTTGCTGAATAATCTTTTACGTAATCATTAATATTGCACTTACTTGCAATAACCTTGTACATCTATTCATCAAGGGTCAAGATGGCGTCGGCCAAACTTGACTTATCGCATTAACCAGTATAGCAGAGGGAAAAATGGCGTCCAATTGCCGGCTCAAGAAATTGACAGAATCATGGCGGCTGCTTTCCAGACGTGGGAAAATGTGACTAACCTCAGATTCACCAGGGCGTCACGTGGAATGTCTGTTGATATTGACATCGAGTGAGTTCGTGTAACACTTTTGAGAATAAATCTGATTGAGAAAAAAAAAGAAAGAACCTAACGGAAAATTTGTTTTTGAAATAAAATAGTTTTGCAAAACAAGAACACGGAGATGGGAGTCCGTTCGATGGCAGAGGACAAGTAATAGCACATGCCTACTACCCTAGTTATGGAGGAGACTCACACTTTGATGACGAGGAACTCTGGACCAGCAATGAAAACGCAGGTGCAAAGTGAAAATGTGATGTATCAGAATTTACTAATTTTTCATTATCATTCATGAGGGATTACATTACGTTTTTCACTGTGTAAATATCGTTTTTTGTTCAAAATGGACGAATGACACACTATAGAACGCCGAGGTTTGGATTTTTCACTTTTTTCAAATTCAAGAATTTCAAGAAACATTTGAAAGATAATATGGCTTATGCCTGGAAAGAAAAGATTCACAGAGGAAGTGAGGAGGACCTTATATGCTTTTGGTCACCCTAAAAAGTTATGAAAATTTTAGAATTTTGGATTGAAAATTTTGAAATTATAAATTTTGAAATATTTTTACAACTGCAACATTTTACATGCAATGAATGACCCTGTTTAACCAATGCTTCAGTTAATTAAATTTGTGGTTGAAAAAAGTTTGCTCTTCAGGAAAAATTGGGTGGCTGGAATAATGTCACCAGGACTAACCTCGTCACGCTGGAATAATGTCTTGGAGATTTAATATTGTCAGGAATATCATTGTCAGGAATAACATCATATTTGGGAAATTTTTTTCCTGGCTAAAATGGAATAAAATCATCAACATATTCTTTTTCCTAAAATTGGAACAACCTCATTTGGCAAAAACTGGACTTTCCTCGTAATGATGAATATGGAATAACCTTGTCCTATGTAGACTGGCCCTTCCTCATACATCTGGTACAAGCAAGGACTTGGAACATGATTTAAATTTTTTTTTTGGCTTTACTGACACATTTTTAGCAACCCGTGACATGTGTGGAGGTGCAGTTCTCCACTCATGTCACACACAGGTTGCTAAAAATTTGTCAGGAAAGCAAAAAAAAAATTAAACTTTTTTTCATTTTAACCATGATGTTTTTACAAGATCCAACAGGATTTGGGCAGATGATAGGCATATCCAGTGCATGCTGTTTATTTATTATCTGCGCAATATGTATTAGGTTATATACAGTGTGCTGTGCTGGGCCATGTGTATTTATAAGGGGAACAGGGAAGAATTTTATGTATGAGATAATTCCATTTTTATCTTGACAAAAATACTCCAGTTCAGGCATACAAGGTTGTTCCAGTTCTTAAGAAACAACATTTTTTCTTGACCATTGTAGGAGTTTTATCTGGTTTTTTTCAAACAATAATTTTTTTGACAACCTTCAGGATTATTCAGCAGTACGACATTAGGCCAGTTATGCAGATAGGGAAGATTTTTTTCACAATATAATTCCTGCAGAGGCTGGACAGCAATAAGCGGGTTTTGAAATAATGACGTAATTCCACCACCCCGAAAAATTCTTTGCTCCATTACCCAAAATTTAATTTGCAAACTGAGATGGAGAGTATGCTGTGATTGTCATATATTAATTTTTGCATGGTAATAAATTTTAAATGAATAATGTGAGCCTGTCACCTTAATTGGAAATACTTAGCATTTTTTTACTTTCATTGATAATTTTGCCTCATTACCCTTTTTTTCTTGTTTCCTTTGCCTGGAATTGTGCTCTTTATGCTTTCATTGCTGATTTTAACTCAACAAAATTGTCTTTTTCTTGTATAGTATCATTTGCTTGGGATTGTGCCCCGCCTTCATCACTCAGAAGCACAGTTGTGCAAAAGACAGATGTACGTCTGCAATGTTTTCTTCACATGCCTAGGATTGACTAGTTTAATATTGAATAAAAAAGTTTTGTACAGAGGAAATAAAGGCAGCTGAACGAGTTACAATATTGTCCAAAATTTGAAAATACTAATAGTGCTACTTGATAAATTAAAGGAATGTCAAAATTTTGAAAATTTCAATCATCCTTCGGGTGCATGCCAGAACCAACAAAATTTTTTTAAATATTGAAGTAAATGGGAAAATCAAATTTTAAAAGCTAACTTTTCAGTTTTAAAACTTTTGTTTTGATTCAATCAGGTTTGTTAACAAAGGGTTGGTATATAAAAACCGAGGCATTTGCTAGAAAGATTTTCATTATTCAAGTGAGGACAATCTAAGTCCGAGCTTTGCAGCGAGATAATTATCCGACCTGCTGATTATTCACAGGAACGAATTTACTTCAAGTTGCTGTGCATGAGTTTGGACATGCCCTAGGGCTGGAACACTCAAATGTGATGAGTGCTATAATGTTCCCAAGGTACCAAGGATACATCCCCAATTTCAAGCTTGACCCTGATGATGTTATTGGCATTCAGGTAAGTCAGTTTCTTTAACCCTTTTTTAAAATACAGTGAGACCCCCACATGCGGATGCTTGACCTGCGGACAATTTGATCTGGGGACACTTATTTTACCATTAAAAAATCACAAAAACGTCCCAACATGAGGACATTGACTTGACATAGGGACATTTTGCAATAAAATTGCAAATAAATTTCAGGCAAAATTACAAGAAACAAATGTTTCCAACCCTAAAATTTATGTAAGAAAAGTTCTTGGGCATTTCTCTCCCCAAGTTACCATCTATTTAGCTACTTTAAAATAATTACCTCCAGCATTCAGGGACTTCCTTCTATATTTTTCACTTGAATTTTATTTTTTACAGAAAATGCCAACACTTCTATATGTACTGTACAGATGAGGTATCAGTATTCAATTCCCCAAATGTTCATATTGTGTTGAAATACATCGATTGAATCAGTTTAAATTGGGAGACAATTTTTGTTTTAATGGAATTAGGGTGAGTATTTTGTACATGAAACACAAATTAAAAATTATATATTGTGATCCCAAAGTATTTTATGGGTAGAGCTGCGTATGCAGACTCCCCGGAATTTCTTGTGTCTCTCTCTCTCTCTCTTCCCTTCAAGCTTCCCTTTCCAAAAAAGGGTTTTCCATAAACTGTGCGTCGTCACGAGTATTGAAGGGCATTGCTGTCCTACTACGGAATACGCGTGTGTGTATTGTTTCCTCGGTCAGCGAAGCTGACCACCGCGATCCTTTAACTGTGTGTGTCTCTCTGCTCTCAGCAGCATTCGTGCCCGAGCACTCGCGACTGGTTGTTGTTGTGCGCTGTCAATAAAAGCTTACAAATGTTCATATTGTGCTGAAATACATTGATTGAATCAGTTTAAATTGGGAGACAATTTTTGTTTTCATGGAATTAGGGTGAGTATTTTGTACATGAAACACAAATTAAAAATTATATATTGTAAGTCTAAGGGAAAATGAGACTTGACTTGGGGACATTTTGACTTAGGGACACTCTTTACGCACCAATTACATCTGCATCTTGGGGTCTCACTGTATGCATTCCACACTGTATCACTGGAATACTGAAGAGATGTTTTTGCCACAAGGCCATATATGGAAGAAAACAAGAAACCAACCCAACCCCTGATGAACCCACCTCAGGGGGTGGAAGACCATCAGACAGAACTGGACTGTGTCAAGGAACTCAATTTGATACTATTCTTGCCATCAATTCAAAGACTTACGTTTTCAAAGGTTTAGTGTTTTCAAATGGGAATGAGTATATGAAGAAGACACCTGATCATTTTTTTTTTTAAAAAGGGGACTTGGTTTGGTCACTTGGGGAACGTGGGGTTGAAAATGGGTACCCAATGCTGGCCAATGAGCTTTGGCCGAGGGTTCCTTCAAATATGGATGCAGCAGTTTACATTCCTTTTGGCGATTTCGTGCTGTTTTTCAAGGTATGTTTTTTCCTCCTCAAATTCATTTAAACAAATATTTATTCATTTTATTTCATGTGTCTAAATTGAAAATCTAAGCTATACTCGCAACGCCCGTTCAGAAAGAATGGATTGTTTTTGAAAATATTTTGCTTCTTTTTCAGGGAAGGCATCTCTCTGAAATTTTATTACAACAAATATTGCTTCATTTTGCTTTTGTTTTGTGCAAAAAATTCAAAATTGCATTCACTCATCGCTGTTTGCATTTGAGGTTCCATCATTTTAATGCAACGTACAGTAAGTTTGTTTTTCTAAATTTCGTGCATTTTCATTTTGCCTAATTTTCTTTGAAATAAATTATTTCTTCTTTATTTTTGGGTGTCTAAATTTAAACTTTGGTCGACTCATGATGCATACAAAAAAAAGCACGAGATTCTATAACTTCTTGAATATGTACGAAACCTGCGGAAATGTTGGATATGTGGCTTTTTAAATTAAATCCACTCTTTTCGCAGAATGATCAATACTGGAGGTACAATTTGATAAATGGCCGGTTCGTAATCTCTGCTGGTTTTCCAAGAAACATAAATTCCTTTTTCCGGGGAATACCTGCGAATCTGGATGCGGTTTTCATGAGAAGGCGGTCAGGAACTTTGTACTTCTTCAAAGGTGAAGTTGATTCTTTTTAATGTGCTTCAAGAGTCGAAAGATTCATGGAAAGCTTCAGAATTTAAGTTAATCAATGTTACAGTGGCTGAATGAACCTTTTTGTACAGTATTTATTTCCGGAATAAAATAAAACTCCTTCACGCAAATTTTTTATCGCTGAAATAATAATTGACACCGTTGACAAGTTTTCGTCAGTTCTGTAATTGTAATACAGACAATAATAGGAGGATAATTTTGAAAATATGGATAAAGTAGAATCTTATCACAGCAATCTCGTTATAACGAATATTCGACTATAACGATGTCTTTTTTAGGTCTCTAACCAATAGCCATAATTTGAAACAGTTCATCTATAATGAATTTTTAAACAAACTCTTGTCAAAGGAAAATTCTCAAATATGAGAATTCAAAACTTGATTTTGAGGCTGAAAATTATTGGCAAAATCCAAGTGCAAATAATTAACCTATGCACTGATATGAAAATTCAATCCTTCCTCTGTGGTCTTGGCATTGTAACATTTGTAATCTGGTTTTTAAAATTTGCTCCAGCCACATTAATCATATCCTGTTTAATGATAAAATTATTTGTTTTTTGTGATTAATTTTTCTAGTTCTTCAGCAAAAAAGATCTATTTGATATTTATTGGCAGCATTAAAAAACAAATTTCATTTTGCCTGACATGCATCCTGTGGCATGTGTTTCTCTGGATGTGAAGCTTTTTGTCTTTGTTTTCATCAGTGATACTTCTGTATAACAAGGGAAAAACATTCTGTGCACTTACAAGATGCAGCATCAACTTACTCTGATGATAGCTGATTGTAGTCCTAATTTTTTTTATGCTATGGGTTTAAGGAATTCATGAAGTTCTTCCTAATTGAAGTCTATGGAAAAATCAAGTTTGGTTAACAAACTTTTTTCTGGAGCCAATCAAGTTCATTAACCAAGAGTCCACTGTACAGTATTTTGAAATTTAAAAAGTCTAACATTCAGTTTCCATCAATCAGTGGGCCAATTTTTTCTTTCATCTATAGCTCATCAACTTTCTTTTTAATTATAGACAGGGAAATATTATATAAATTAACAACATGTAAACTCTTATTATGGATTTTTCAGCTTCTATTATCTAAATTGTTCAACTGAGATTTTAAAATATTTTTCTCATGCATCACAGATGCAAATTACTGGACATTCAGCCTCACCAGGGGTCGAACCAGCGCTCCAATGTCTATTGCTCGACCGTTTCGTGGAGGACCCACATCCAAAATTGCTGCAATAATCACATGGAGAAATGGGGTCACTTACGTTTTCCAAGGAGATCAGTACTGGAGGTACAACGACATGCAAGGCAGGGTGAATACATTTTCAATTTTACATCATGTAATGTTTCTCAACAAATCAGCAGCACCTGGCCAGGACCTAAAGCAGGTGAAGCTGGATGAGTCAAACCTCCCTACATCAGATATCGCCTTAAGTCCATCTGAATCCCCTTAGAAATAATACATTAAAAAACCTCAAAATGTAAGAAGAAATTCAAGCCCCAGCATATCACAGTTTACAATTTTGGGCAATTCTTCTATGTTTCCCAAAGTGTAGCAAATTTTTGTGAGTACCCCCTAAAACCGGAGCCAAGCATAGCAAATTTAATCTCTTGCTTCCAACTAATGGCAAGCCATTTTTCATGTCAGCTTCTTGAGGAAATACATCCTCAAAGGAAAATGCCAAAAGAGCAACTTAAAAGAACAGATCCATAAAAGGGACAAGTTTTGGCAATTGCCAAAACTCATCCTTGGTTGTTTCTGTGAGAATCAAGTTTCATCCCCATTCTCACAACAAACTTAAATGGACCCTTGGTCCTTGAATTTAACAAACACAGAAAACTCCAGAAGAAGAAAAAGTACCACAGCTTAAAAAAGCAGAAACTGTAATCAAAGCCGAAAATCTCAGTGGAAATTTCCTCAAACCATACCCTTTTTCTGTTTCCAAAGTACTGTACATGCAAATATTTTAGTGTCTTCCAAACCTTTCAACCAAGTGGATCTTGGGAACTTGGCAAGTTTTTCAAACTTATCAACACTTTGTCCAAAATCTACAGAAATATACCATCTTAGAATAGGGTGTCCTTGAGCACCCCGGTTGCAGCCCAACCAAATCTGTGTACATTTTATTTCCTAACTTTAACCTGACTTTTGAATCTCCGCAACAAGAAGAAAGGGTTTTTTGTTGTTGCTCTAATCTCTATAATCAGAACCTCCTAAGTCAAATTGTTTTGCTGGCCCCTTGAAATTTGACTTTGAGAGGTTTGACAAAGAATTTCAAAAACAGCTGCACACATTTGTCCATGCTTTTTATTTTCTAAATTTTGAAAACAGGCTTTCCCTACAATCATTTGTAACTTGCAAAGTTTAAAACGTTGAATGAATGGTGCCAAAAATTTGAATTAACATTTCAAATGCATAATGCCACAGAGCATCCAAAAAATTGGCTGAAATAATCATGCCTGTTTGCCATTTATGGAACCCTACAAAAGAAAGGATGATAAAGGTGCAGCAGAACAGATTAAGCACAAAGAATCAGCCAGTTTCTGAACAAGAACCTTGCATACTGTAGGTAACACCTTGAATATGTGTTCCCAGTTAAAAAAAATGATTCATTAAGAAATTTAGTGGCAAATAAATGACATGATTCCTAAGGAACATTTGAAACTCTGCAGAGGAATTTGTCCAAATCCAAATACAAGATACAAAAATATGCAAAGATAAAGAAGGAATATAAAGAGAGGAGTGGTTCTTCACAATAAAGGTTGTGTGAAGACTCGTTTATTTGATGCCAATTTAAGTTTGGAAGGAGGAGTAAACTTCACTAGGGTTTTCTCAGTGCATTCTTACTGTACATTTTTTTTTTACGAAACTTTTTCTTCCTTCCTGTCTCACATCATCATCTGCCAGGAAAACCCAGCTGGCTAACTAAATGATGTTGACACTAAAAAATACTTGGTTTTGAATAAATGCTCGGAGAAAAAATTGTTTATTTTCACAGATGAAAAGCTTCCCCATCATGAAAATCCTGCTTGATGTTATTATGGTCATGCATTTTGCCTGTTTTTGCACATCGTTATTTGTTGACAAAAATTAATTTGGATATTTTGTAACTCTCCCGAAGTTCAAAATCTGAGATAGTGGGGAAGCCCTTGTACAGCATATCGATCATTTTCATCATATTTTTTGCTGAACATAATTATCAAGGAACAATTTTGCGGGGTAAATAAAACAAACTTGGTGAATCGGTGGAAGGAATATCATGAAATACCCGTTTTCAGTTCCCATCACTGCTATAATGCCGGAATCGTTGGGACTAAGTTTGCAGCCTGCAACTTGATGAAATAACTTCAAACGTCTGTCAAAATATATACGCTTTCGAAGGTATCTCTCTAGTCCTAGAAATTGCATATTTTCCCTTCCTGTCAACAGATTGTGACAGAAGCGAATGGAATGCGGTATCCAGCTTCAACGTCTCAGCACTGGTTCGGTTGTAACAGCAATACTGCTTCAAAACCCAACCTGAGAATGGCGGACGAAGCAAGGAATGGAGTCGAGATGGAATTCAAGAATGAGCCAGTTGCTGCAGAAATTGGCAAGTTATTCTAGTCAATAAGCCATTCAAGAAATAAAACTCTCATCGATCGACACTATTGATGAATGAATGTTGCTAAGCATAAAATGGGTCTGTCACATTCACTGGAGTACACTTTGCACGTTACAAAATTTTCCAAAGTTCTTGCGTGCACAGAAATCCATGAATGAAAATACAGTATCGCAAATTTATTCCTTCTTTTACTGTATGTGAATATAAATTGTTAGTTAATTTAGCTTCCCTAATTAACTAGTAGTAGAGTGTCCACAGTGAAATCTTTTCAAATCTTTTCAGAACCACAGTATTTCACATACCGCGTAGTTTAGTACTGTACTGCTGGTATAATACCAGTGGTACACAACCCCTTCAGGTATTTTTTGGGGTGGTGTACCGCTGGTATTATACCAGTGGTACATAACCCCTTTAAAATACCGCGGAGTTGTGTACCGCTGGTATAATACCAGTGGTACACAACCCCGCGGTATTTTAGCAGCAGTACACAACCCTGGTATAATACCGCAGGGTTGTGTACCGTACAGCGTATTTTCACTGTGATTGGCTGCGGTATCATTACCGCGGCCAATCACAGCTTCGCAGAGCGGATCCGTGCTGTGGTATTATAAAATACGACACAGCCTATTTTTACTGTGATTGGCCACAGTATCATTACCGCGGCCACTCACAGCTTTGCAGAGCAGATCCGGGAGTCTGGATCCTTGCTGCAGTATTATAAAATACCGCACAGTGTATTTTCACTGAGATTGGCTGTGGTATCATAACCATGGCCAATCACAGCTTTGCAGCATGCATCCAGGAGTCCAGATCCACGCTGCGGTATTTTAAAATTCCTAAGTTCTGTGATTGGTCCTGGGATATTACCACAGCATATTATCCTACAGAACTTTATAAAATCAAAAACACTGTGTCAACATTCACTGGCAACATTCAAATGATTGAGATTATTTAAAAGTTGAAAGTTTTTTTGTGTGTTGCTGAGAAAAAGGCAGTGCTATAATTCTATAATAACTATACTTGTATGCTGAGAAAATTCCTGTCTGCTGCCGGACTCAAACTGGGAACTGTTGCACCATGAACTATGCCTCAACTGGATAGGCTGCTGTGCACTTGACGTTGGACCTAGATGATGTGGGGTCATATAACTTTTTTTTCAACACCTAGGCCACAGACACAGGTTACACAACCTCCACTAGTAGTAGAGTGTCCGCAGTGCACTGAGTGTAAATCTTTTCTTTTATTTACACTAAAACTAGTATATGAGTAACAAACTGATCAAAGGCACAGGCGGCCAGGTACAACTTTCTTGTCACTTCTTGCATTTGAAGCATTTGAACAAGCACTTCTTGCTCTCAAGGAGGCCTGGCATCAGCCGGGTGGTGCAAAAAGGCCACAGACACTTGTTACACAACGTCCTTATTAAACCCCCCAAGACCCTGTAGGATCCTCAGTTACACTGCGGACGTTAAATGGCAAATAAATTGTCACTGAACACTGGGGTGCGGATCTTATGAAATTTTTGGTGTTCAGTACTGTAATTGATTCAATGTGGTACTGCATAATTATCTTTGGATGTACTGGAGGGTATTTCTACCATGCATACATACCGTATAGTCCCAACAAATAATCAAGGCATTGGACAACTAACTACCCAGTAACAGTAGTGGTTAACATGTTAGGGCTATGGTGTTTACCACATACCCCAATAGTGCCAGTGTCAAAGGGATTCAGGGATAGCAAGTACAGCCAACCCCTGCACAATCGACTTAATTTGCATAATTCTTGTGTAAAAAATCTGTTATGCAAATTCAATGATAAAAAATTAAAATTTTTACTTTGTATACCATTAATTTTTAAACAACCAACAAGGTCTGTTATGCAGATTTGGTCCATTGCAAAGGAGGGAAAACTGTCTCCAGAGGTGGTCTGTTGTGCAAAAATCCATTGTCTGGGAGGTCTGTTGTGCAGGGATCAACTGTATTTTACCATGTAGTGTTGGGCATCACACTCAATGCCTATGAGAACTAAATTTGGCTTTCACAAAGAGGCAGAGATGGCAATATTTTTTCATGAGTGTTGCTAACTTTTGTAGAGGTGAACTAGTCACTTTCTATAGTTGTCAATAATGAGCTTGAATAACCAACCAACAACCAATAAAATATTAAGGAAAAACAGAAATATCCTCAATAAAAGTTTGCTGAAATGGAATACAAAATTTTTGAATTCAAGAAATTTAAAATACATTACAAGAACTCAAGTAAACGGCCCAAACATGATGAACTTTTTGAGCCAAAAAACATTTAAATTTGAAGAATACAGTGTGTCACTTTTATGAACAGGAGTTAGGCATCACCGTAATAAATCTTGATGCAAATCAATCCTATTATAAGATAATTTTTTTCTTACATTCATGATACTCATTTGAACTGAGAAATGGTGAACATGCTGTTATCCTGCAAAATACTCGACAATATGTTTCGAGTTTCTTCTCTCTTAATTTCTTCTCCAAGCTAGATGAACATGGGAAGAAAACTTTCCCATG